AGGGGGTGGGTGAGTGGGTGGGTAAGAAAGCTGTAGATTATCAGTGAAACCGCTCAGCAGCTTCTGAGCAGAACCTTGTCTGTATTCTGCAGGATGAGTAGTTATGGGTGCATAAAGGTCCATTGATCAGGGAATCCTGTTTTCCAAAGAGCAGCAGTAGCACATCTCCCTACCCCCCAGCCTTTCCTCCACTGACTTTGTGGGATTTGGGGTGAGAAAAACCCTTTGGGTCTCTGTGTCACTGCAGCTGCTGCTCTGTGCTTTGTAAAATATAGGTCTGTCGGGTTCCTTTTGAGGATCCTGAGCTGCAGGAACGGGATAATGGACATACTGGGCTAACTGGTATCTTGGAGATCATGGAAGTAGGAACTGTGGGCCAGTCCCCTGGCAGGGGCTGCAGACAGGGATCCATTAGAAGCTACTTTAGGAAGTGTTGCATCCTTGGAAGCACGACAGGGTGCGGAGGAGGAGGAGGAGAGGTGCAGGGGGTGTGCCATCCAGCCTTGGGAAGCCTGATAAGCCCAAACACCGTATCAGGCAGTGTTGCTGACTGTAGGGCTTTTCTGTTTGCTCCTGTTGAAGTTTGGAGCATAAATAATGATTATCTCTGCAGTGCAAGGGCTCTCTCTGTGCTTGGCCCTGTGTCCCAGCCCCCGCTCCACCGAGCAGGGTCAGGGAGAAGGGAATTAGAGGCGGTGTCTTTGGCTGACATGAACCCGCTGGGGAGGGATGAGAGGAAGGGGGTCTTGGGGGCTGGGTTCAGAGCAAGGTTAGCCAAATATCGGATAAATTAAGCAAGAGAAACAGACAGCTCAGCTTGCAGTGAACTTTTCACCCAGCTAACCTGTTCCTCACCCTGCCTTGCACAGGTGGAGTACGACTGGAGCACAGCCCTCGCTGTCCCTGCCTCCCTGTTTGCTGGAGTGCAAAGCCTGGCCAGGGGGAGAGCAAGGACTGCAGAGGGGGCTGGTTTGCTGTCTGGAATCCAAGAAATATTACAGTTCTGATTTCTGTCTTCAGAACCCTGAAGTTAACACCACTAATTGCAGAGGGGTTGGTTGTTATTTGCTCCAGGGTACAACGAGGACCAATAATTTCTGGTCATAGAGGCTTGGGAAGAAATTCCATACTGGAAAGGGCAAGGAACAAATGAGAGTGTCTAAACAGGGATGATTAGAAGATTCTTTGTGGGAAAAGGCAAGACTGGTGGGAATTCTGGTGTTTATTTCTCTGACTTTTCTTCTGCATTTACAGTGCAAGTAAATACAAATAATTGCTGACAGATGTTGTGAAAACACAGCATTATGTTAACCTTTAAGGTTAATTTCTTTTTTTTTTGGGTCAATAATAAATATTGATAACTGGACACGGTGCTCTTGGCTCTTGCTCACATCACCTCTGTGCAATGGGCTCTGCTCCAGAGGTGTGTGTGGAAGCAAGAGCTGAACTTGTTCTCTTGACCCTTTCCCAAATCCCCACTGCCTCCACTCCCTCTCCTCCCCAGAAAGCTCTAAGCAAGTTAAAGTTACTGGTTTTTAAGCAGTTGCTCCATCACAGTTGGTGAGGCCTGAAGTTTTTGAAGTTTTTGATATGTTTTTAGGCCATTTTTCTGTTCTGTGGTGTGGCAGGTTTGTTGGACAGTAATACCTGGTATTACTTCAACGTAGTTTTTAGGCTAAAAACCCTGTGCTGAATTGGGACTCTCCAATTCCCCTCTAGTTTTTCTTTTCCCTTTTTCTCACGGTAGGTAAAGAAGGTCTGAAACCAGTAGCAGCTGCCTAATGCACAGCACTTCCAGGAACTAGGTCCTGTATTTTTCTCTGTGTGCCTAAATTCCATAAAACTGCAAAAAGTAAAAAAAAAAAAAATTCCTCATAGATCCCTCCTCCCTCCCCCCTTAAGGAGCTTTTACTGTCAGTGCACTTCTGGATGGTAAGTGCTGGAAGCTGGGTGTCTGAAAAGGGAAGAGCATTGTATAAACCTGGAGATAATCCCTGACTCCAGGGAGCCAGGAGCCTTCCTGGAGCAGTGAATGGTTTTGGGTTTGCCTCTCACTCTGCCCCACACACAGGGGTGGTTCCCACCCCCCTAGTTTGGATCTGGGAAGGAGGTCAGGCTCTTCTGGGACTACCTGTAAGTGCCAGTTCACACACAGCTCCTCAGCCACTGCCAGGGTGAGGTTCTGGCTGCAGAAGAGCACTGACAGCATCCAGGATTTTGCCCAGTAGGTGAGAAACAAAGGGAGTAAGAAATGCAGTGTGGTTGCTGTTGAGTTGCTGAGCCTGTTGCTGATGCTACTGGTTGTTAATCAAACAGGTTTTCCTCTCCTGCAGTCGTTTAAGGAGATAAAAGGAGTTGAGAGGTGCACAAGGCAGCACCACTCTCTGCTGCCCTTTCCCCTGCAAGGACAGGAGCTCTTGGGTGGGTTTGATGAGCCCAGAGAATGGACTCTGTTCAAACTCACTCTGTTGTTTGCTTGGTTTGGGCTGTTGTGTTGTTTTGCTGTGTTGTTCTGGTTTGGTTTTGTTCCCTTGGGATGGTTCTGGCTGGCTGATTTTACAACCTGTAGTTTCAAATGCAAATTCCACCACTGGGGAGGGGACGGGGCAAGGACAAGGTCAGTGGTCATCAGATAAACGAGGCTACTCCTTCTCCAGCATTTCAGGCAGATTCAGCAGAGCTCTGAGTAACATCATAATCTTGCTAAAGACAAATTTGCATGTCTGATATGTCAGAGTGTATTCTCCACAAAACTTGCTCCCTTTTCCACGCGTTGGTGAAGTTTCCCAGACCAGTTTGGCCAATCCTGTTGTGGCTCCAAACCCTTGTGTCATGGCAGGCTGGCTGCTTCTGCTGTATTTTTTATGCCCCTTGAGTGACGTCATTTAAATGATGAGTCTCTGAGATGATTCATACCAAAAAAGATCTAATAATTGTTACCAGTTATTCAAATCAGTGTTACTGATTTCCCGCATCCTCCCACTGGTCCCTTGAGCTCCCCCACCCACTCGTTTTTCATAATAATTCCCAGGCTTTCTGGCTGTAGGCTCAGGATGCCCTCTTCTGTGTTAAGGTGTAAGTGTCTGGTTCTCCCCTGAGGAACATTCAGGGCTTGGCTGCAGCAGCTCGTGGGGGCAGATCCGACCTGGAACGGAGCTGGGGAGGTGGAGGGACCACTGGGAGCTCCAGTGAGGCTTCAAACGGTGTTTGCAGCACATCCCCTGCTCTCTGGGCTGGGCTGGTGTTGCTGGCAGGCTCTGAGGTGGCTGGTTCAAGGCTCAGTGAGTGATGTGTGTGCAGGCTGCAGGGGTGGGGTGCCCAGGACTGGCCTGGGGTCTCTGGAGCAGTTCTGCACAGCACTGGGATCATTGCACTGGGATCATCATAGTGACCTCGTGTGCTGCTGCTGCTGCTCCAGTTTGTGGCTGTAGTTGTCTCTCCTCTCACAAATAAAGATCCTCAACTCATGAGGCTCTTTTCTCCAGCACTGTGGGTTGAAATCTGCAGGAGTTGTATGGTCAAGAGCTGCCATTGAGAGCAGCTGTGTTTTCTTCAAGCAGCTGCTCAGTCTTGCCCCTTTTCCCCATTATGTTCCCATCTCATATCCCAGTGCGTTTTTCCTTTATCTTGCCATTCCTGGAGCAGTGAATGGTTTTGGGTTTGCCTCTCGCTCTGCCCCACACACAGGGGTGGTTCCCACCTCCCCAGTTTGGATCTGGGAAGGAGGTCAGGCTCTTCTGGGACTACCTGTAAGTGCCAGTTCACACACAGCTCCTCAGCCACTGCCAGGGTGAGGTTCTGGCTGCAAAGGAGCACTGACAGCATCCAGGATCTTGCCAGTCCCTTCCACATATGTATTCTCTCTTCTTTTTTTCCACCTTCCTCACTCATTCTCTCTCTTAGTGATGTCTTCTGTTGGCAGGAACACACTTGGTTTTGCCCAGAGTGAGATGGATCTTGAGTGCAGAGATAGAAAAGGGTGAGGCTGGATCAGTTCTAGGTGCCCATGCTGCCATATTTGAGAACATATTGACATTAGGGCAGCTGAAGCTCTAAAGTTGATTTTGGAACTTTTTTTGGCTGCGTTACTGTCTCGTGCAAGGCCTAAAAGAAACTCTAGACATGGATCTACAGAGTTGTTCTCCTCTAAGCAAGGAAAACAGCTTCACCCTTCCTATTTGTTAGCCCCAGGGTGGGTTCTTGATCTGACTTTGGGGGATGGGAGAGTTAGTTTGAAATTCGTGCTGTCAAAAATCCTTATACAGGAAGTGTTGTGGAGCTCATTTGTTCACTCGTGCTGGGAGGGGCTGGGGTGGCAACAACTGAAAATAAGAATGTTCTCCCCAGCATTTGAGGGAAGTTGTTTGTTTTGCAGGCAGTGGCAAGGAGAATGAAAGGATATTGAGGAAACAGAGCACAGAGATAAGGTCTCAGTAGAGGACCTCTTTGGATGACTTATAAAAATTCAGTCCACTTCCTAAGACTCCAGGGATTTTTAAAGGGAAAAAATCCCTCTTGTTTGAGATTTTCCTATAGAGGAGATATGAGGATATTTTATAGTATTAAATAAAGGGATCTGAAGTGTAATCCATACCTTGCACGGGATTCCTGGATATTCTGGTGCACTTATGCATTATTTTGGTGGTCCTAAACCGTGCAAACAAGTAAGATGATAACAAGGACTGTGGCTTCTTAGTCCTGACTCCGCAGCCTGCGAAGTCCAGCCCCAAATCACCCAACAGCTCTTGTGGAGGGAACTGCTTTAGGTAGCAACCCCTGGTGCTGGATTGTTCTCACGGCGAAAAGTCTGGTGTTGGCCCTGCAGAAGAGCAGAAGAGCTGCCCCTTCCCTCCTTTCTGGCAGAGCAAGTGGGTTTCTGGCTGCTGTGTGTGTGCAGCGAAGCTGGCACCGAACCCCTCCTCTGCCGGCAGCCGAGGGGAAGGAAAGCTCGGCGTAACCTTCGGTGTGTTATTTATTAGCACTTCGCAGCCCCCTGGAAAATGAAGTTTGGAGACCCGTGAGCCGATGGTAACGGTGAACACTGGGAAAAGCCCGGGAATCAGCAAATCCATTGTGTTGCGCTGACAGAAAGATACTGTTACAACACACTTTAGCTGCCAACTTGCTGCAGTCACTCAATCCATCACGGTGGGCTGTGGGATCACAAGCCAGTGAAACTCAGCCTGGCGTGTTATTTTAGTCTTACATGGACTGTGAGATAAACGGGGCATGAACCGGCCCCCTGGCAGGGGGTCGACCCCCGGCGCCCTCATTAAAGTGCCAATCAAAAAGAGTAATGGGAGGGGGGATGGAAATCTGGCTCCTCCGGCCCCGCACCGAGCGCGGTCCCGGCGACTCCAGCAAGCCAAGGGAAACATTTCCCCGCTGAACAGGAGCCAGCCCTCCAGAAATGCCTCCTCCCTGCTCGCTCCGGGTCTTGCTGGTGGTGGGAACCTGTTCCTTCCTGCTGGCTGGGCAGAGCAGGGAACGGGAAGGGTCATTGCTGGGCATCCCCTGGGAAAGGTGTGGATGCGAGGGATCATTGCTGAGCACAACCTGGAAAAGGTGTGGATGTGAGGGATCATTGCTGGGCATCCCCTGGGAAAGGTGTGGATGCAAGGGATCCTTTCTGAGCACAACCTGGGACAGGTGTGGATGTGAGGGATCACTGCTGAGCACACCCTGGAAAAGGTGTGGATGTGCTTTCTGTGGATACACAGGCACCGGGACTGTGTCCATCATCAGTCAGTGCTGTGTTTTCTGTCAGAAGTGGCTCATGGTTCAATATTGGTGTGTGAAAGATGCAGTGAAACCTCCTCTCTCCCCACAGCAGTGCAGTTCCACCCCCCCGAGAGCATCAGTGGGTTGTCTGTGTGTGCAACAAGGTTTTTAGCAGGGCCTGGTGCAGCAGGAGAAGCCACAATGGTTTCTAAGTAAGGGAGAGTAGTCTTAGACCAGATATGAGGAAGAAATACTTCACAATGAGGGTGGTGAGGCACTGGCACAGTGGGCAAGGTGTGAACATGGATTCTTGTGCAGTGTGGGGGTTATTTCAGAATTCCATGGGAACCTGCAGCAAATCGATCCTGCAGGAACAGGATGATCCTGGGGTGAATGTAGAGCTAAGGCTGAGGCACGTGAGCAGTGCTGAGGTGCCTGTCACTGGTGGCTGGTGCTCAAACAGGCCTGGGAGCTCTGCTTTGGCAATGGGTGCTTGTCTCTGAGACTCTGAGTGCACCTGGACTGCTGTGGGAGTTCCTGGGTGGCCTGGGATGCGTTCTGGGTGGTGCACAAATACATGTTCTTGTGCATGTTGATTCCTCTGGTGTGTGCTCAAAGGAGAGGGCAGAAAGGTATCTATGAAAAGAAAGAAAGGTGGGTGAAGTTGTTTGTGTCATGTGGATTTTTAGTGTTTGAAATCGGGAAGCTCAAGGTGGGGGAGTTGCCTCTTAAACCTGCTTATAAATGTCAGCTCTGCTGTGATCTCAGTGTGATTATGACCTTGGCAGCTGTTTATTTTTGCTCTCAAGGTTTTATCAGTAGCAGAGGGTTTCTCCAGGTGGATACTGGTTTGGTTTAAAATATTTTTTTTTTTTTTATGGGCAGGATGAGCAGTTGGGATTAGTCAGTGAAGCAAAATGTACAAGTAGTAACTGGTGTCGTGCTGCAAGATCAGAGAGTGACCACTGAGAGAATGGAATGAGTTTGTGCTGTCTCTATAATCCTTTGAAGCCTCTTAGTGCAAGTGCTGTTACACCACAAATACAGATGTGTCCTGGCACAGAAGGTAGTGCTGAATAGAATTTCACGTTTCTGGGATGTTCATCTCCAGTACTGTTTCCTCCATACTTTGAGCTTAAAATAAATCCTGAAAAAAGGATGAATGGAAGGGCCTAGAACTGCACCTTGGCAGAGGGGGAAGATCCCTGGTGGTGCTCCTGGTACTGGAGCTGCTGTGTCAGGGGTCTGACCTTCCCAAGAGCAGGCTGGGGGAGAGTCTGGGCCTGTGAATGGTGGGTCATTTTAAAGAGTTATTTGATTTTTTTTTTTCTTCCCTCCAAGCCTCCACGCAGACGCATGTTTTTTGCTACATCATTATTTTGATACCCGGTGGTTTGTTCTGCTGGTTGTGGGTTGTTTGCCAAGGGCCTTGGAGCAGCAGAGCTCAGGAATGGTGAGTCACCCTCCCAGGGCAGAGAAAATGTTTGCTTTTGCGGTGTCTGGAGGGCTGAGGGATGGCTGGTATGATGGATTTCTCTTTTATTTGTTACAATTCCTCTCCAGCTGCAGCGTGCAGGGGACTTTTTTTTTTTTTTTTTTTTTGTTTTTTTTTTTTTTTTTTTGGGTTTTTTTTTTTTTTTTTTTTTGCTGGCATTTTCAGAAACCATTGTTCTGCAGCTCCCGTAGCAGCCCTTGTCCTTTGGGTGACCCGGCCATTTATGCAAAATGTAAATGCACATGGAAGCTGTTTACTTCTCTCGTGGCCTTTCAGTGCTTTTGAGTCAGCCCAGAGCAGGCCCGAGGTACAAGGTTGTTTTTACCCACCAGGAGAACACGTTGTGCTGGGCCCAGGGGCAGGCACTGGAGTGTCAGATGCAGGGAATAAAACAAAAATAAACCCAAACCACAACCAGCAGACCCCGGGTGACACTGGAGCCTGATGCTCTGAGGCAGCACAAGCGTCCCCAGGCCCTGAGCAGAGCTGACCCAAAGCAGCTGCTGCTCCCATGGAGCTGCAGTTTGCTCCCTGATATTTGTATTTCTGGCCCAGGATGTGCTGTGGTTCTACTGAGCAAAACACCAGAAAAAAAAAACAAAACACCCGACTATTTTTTCCCCGGTGTTTGTCACTGGTTAATCAGTAACCTTTTCTTTCTGGCAGGAATCCTTGTAGGATTCTGCCCTCTCCTGCCTGTGAGGGACATGCAGGGCTGGTCCCAGTGCCCACCTGCTGCTGGGGTTGCCTCATGTTCTCCCAGTCCAGAAAATCTGCTGCTGGAGAACCACGAGAAGTCTTTGGTTCAGTCAAACTGCTTGGTGTCCTCTCAATATCTTCTCAGGCAGGTGGGTTTGTGCTGCCCTGAGCCCTTTTTCAAAGCTGTCAGACCAGTAGCTGTAAGAAATGGGCTGCAAGAAAGTCAAACCAGTAACAGGAGTGGGGAGGTGGAAGTGGTTTGTCCCAGCCCTGCATTTGATAAAATTAAGGATCATAATGTGGAGTCAGAGTGTGCTGTCAGCTGGAATGCTACAGCAGTACTGGAATCTGAAGCTCTGGGCACATTATTTTATTTTATTTTTTTTTCCAGAAAAATAAGTTCCTTCTTTGTAACAACTCTGCCTTTAGGAATAGAGGAGTTTGGAATACAGCCTTTGCTTTTCAAGAGAACTTTAAATGTATATTTGGGGTGTGTGTGTATATATTAAAAAAGTAGTATAGAAGCACAGACATGAACTGTTATTCTTTGTTAGAAGAAAAGTTGTGTAAGTGGACTTTGAGCAACTGTTGACTTAATTACGTGTTTTAAGTTTGCTTTTTTTTTTTTTTTTCTTCCCCAAATATCTGTGCAGCAGCCTGCAAGCTGAAGAGTGTCACTGAAACCTGCTTTTTCAGAGCCAAGTACCACAGGTGAATTCACTGTGACCAGCAGATTGAGGCAGGTTCCTCTGAGGAGAAAAAACAGAGCAAGGGCCTGGAGGAGTTGTCAGCTGAGTGGGCTCTGCACTGTAGGAAGCAGGTTGGTACTAAGCTGTGTTTTAGAAAAAGAAGTAAAAAAAAAAAAAAAAATATATATATATATATAGTTGGGCTAAGACCTTAAGGTATTTTACTGAAAATAGATAAATGTTAAAGCATCCTGCAAGTCCAAGGAATGAGCAAATAGACCCCAAATAGATCCAAAAGTCCTTGTCACTGGGAAATGTATGACTGTTTCTTGGGTTTGAGATGTGGCCCATTTAGCCACTTAAGCTTCTCCCCACAAAAATGTAAGCACTGCACTGCTCTGGAAAACAGCCCTGGGGACTGGAGCTGCTGGGATGCATCATCACAGTGATTTACTGGGAGTCTGCTCAGGAGCAGAGGAGGAGGATGTTCACATTTGCCCTGTGCTCATCTCCAGGCAGGAACACCTCACCATGGAGGTGTTGGAACCACAACTGTCCATGATCCAGGAATGATGTCAGTGGAAGGGGTATTTCACTGGGAACAGCCCCCAGTGAGATGCAGAGGGACACGGAGAACTTCACCCCTGGCTTGTGCAAAGTGTCTAAAAGTCACTGAGTTTCCTTTTTTTCCGGTTTCTTCTGTGACTTTAGGAAGTGATGACATTCCCTTCCTGCAGAGGCAGCACGTGCACAGGTAAGTTATCTCTGGGCAGGGGAATCAGACCTGACTGCACAGTCAGTCACTGGGGAGGGGGCAGGGGAGGCTCCAGCAATGACAGTGGTGACATTTCCCTGGATTTGTACACCTTGGCAGGAGCAGGGGATTGACCACGGTGTGCAGGGAGAGAGGACAGGAGGAGAGGGAAGGGGAGGAGAGGATAATAAAGTGGAGGAAGGGGGAATAAAGAGGACAGGAAAAGGGAGGGAAGGACAACAAAGGGCAGGAAAGATAGGAAAGGATGGGAAAAGGAAGGGAAAGGGAGGACAGGAAAGGGAAAGAAATGGATGTGACAGGAAAATAAAGGGGAGGAGAGAACTGGGGAGGACAGGAAAGGGAAGGGGAGCAGCGGAAAAGGAAGATAAAGAGAGGAGCTGCCACCACCCACATGTCACACGTGTCACTTCCATGTTGTGTGTGAGGCACCTCTTTCCCACTTAGAGATGGTTCTTCCTTCCTGCCCCTGCTGAGCTGTTATTTCACCTACTCTTTGTTACACTTGGAACAGGTTTTTTTACACAAATGAGATCCATTGTCCACTGTGGCTCCCTGAGTTCAGGGCACTCCAAGGGTGACTGTTCAACCACTGCTCTGCTGTTTGCACATCATCTCTGCATAAAATGGTTACAGACCCCAAGTCTCCATCCCTGTAAATGCTCAGCACGGCACAGAACTGCTCCTTGTTCTCCTTCCCCACCTCCAGCAGGCAGGTATTTAACACGAGTTCACAACTGGTTTCATTCTAACCTTCAGTACCAAAATACTCCATGTGCCTTTATGAAAGGACTTTACTTTCAAGTTAATCTTTTAAAGCTGCAACTCAAAGGTTTACCGAATAACTAAAGGTTTACCTTAAAATTTAGGTTACTCAGCATTACAGGGAAGTTGTATCTTCCCCCCAAAACCTGGCACCTCCACTGGACACTGAGGGCTCCAGTTCCTGTGGGTTTAAGGACACTCATTCCTCATCTTCAGCGTGGTTATGGTTAATGAGACAAATATTGATTTGATGTACAACGTTGGAAAAAACATGTTATTTTTATTATTTTAAAACTTTACTTTTGAAGATGTTGTTGTGAAGTCAAACAAGCTGGTGATTTCCTCTCCCCACCCCCTTCCAGGCACTACTCCCTCCAGCTCCAAACCCTCCCTGCATCTGAGAGAGGGGAAAACCTGAACTTAGAGATTCCATTTCCAAGGCTCCTCCCTTCAACTGTTCTAGAAACAAGTCAGAAGAAGGAGCCTTGAGGTGCAGACTGTGAATGCAAAACTGAATTAGTTAGTCCTCACTGTAATATTCACCAAAATGCAATTTTTGTTTAAAAAATAGAGGCTGACATTTCAGTGGAACACTAGGTCTCTGTGCTCTCACCTGTACTAGTGAGTTAGGAGAAAAAACCCCAACAAAAATCCCATTAAAGTACCCCAACCAATGCACCCTTCTCACAGTGTTAAAGCTCCAAACCAAGGCCACCTGTGCTCCAATAGCTGAAATTAACTCTTAATTTTAATTTTATGTTTTAAATGTTTATCTACTTTCCTGCACTTTGAACAGCAGTTTTCTCAAGGGAAAAAAAAAGACAGAGAGAGAGGAGGGCTCGTGTCAGGTAGTGCAGTACGACTCAGTAGAGCTCCTTTAATTTCTTTACACAGTAAACAGACTTGTATTTATACCAACACCCGCCTGCCCGCTCGTATTTACATGGACACTTGTACATATATACATGTTAGCAAAATACAGGGCTTCTCCCAGACCCAAAGCTTGAAAAAGAAAAGCCACCTCTCCTGTTTTCACTAAATACTAAAATTATATTTTTTTCCTTCTCAGTTCTGGCTCCAGCCTGGTGCTTGCAGGTCACTCTGGCAGTGAGGAAGTGGGTTTTCAAGAGTCCAGCTCGAGTTGTTCTTGATTTTCACTGAGTCTCAGCATCAGCTGCTGCTCATAGTAAAGGCTCTTTGCATAGTTGATTTCTTGAGACAGCTTTACTGCCAGGGCTTCTGATTTCACTTTCACCTGCAGAAAGAAAGGGGATTTTTGTTTCCTGCCATCAGCTAAAGCAGAAGAGATTTTAGGTTTGAAGTGAGGAACAGAAAGGTGTCAGTGGAGATCCCTGCTCAGTGCTGAGGCTGAGGAAGAAGAAGCAAGTGGAGCACCAGGTGCACACAGACAGGTACTCGAGGGTGAGAGCAGGAACATCTTACATATCTGAGGTTGTTTCCTTTGCTTCCCCTCCTACCTTTTATCTGGCTGCTCTGTTTGGAATGTAAACTGCCTTGGGTCAGGGGTGAGCTTGTAACTGGGCCTGTAAAACAGCCCCTGAGCAACTACTGTAATGGCACAAAAAGCCCTGTAATGGGCTTTAGAAGAGAAAGCCTTGATTAACTTTTATAAGCTTGACATAAACACTGTTTCCAGTCTTAGAGACCTCACAGTGAAAAAACACTACAAGTAGGAGATGAGTAAAAAGCCAGCAAAGTACCCAAGTTCCATTGATGTGGTAAAGTTAAAAGTCTTTCATAGGTAAACACATGTTTCTTCCTGTTACTTTTCTGCCTGAAGGAATATTTTAGGGTTTGCCTTTCTTTAGCTTTCTCAGGAGTTTAGGGAGTGCCTGAAGTTGAATATTAGGAGAAGGTGGCTGGGCACTGAACAGGGTGGCTGGGCACTGAACAGGCTCCCCAGGGCAGTGGTGCCAGAGCTCAAGGAGCGTTTGGACAATGCTCTCAGGGACAGGGTGGGATTGTTGGGGTGTCCTGGGCAGGGCCAGGAGTTGGACTGGATGATCCTGGTGGGTCCCTTCCAGCTCAGGATATTCTGATTCTTTGAACTCCCCACTCACTGAAACCTCACACAGCTGTTCCAGTGCTGACAGAGCAAACCCTTGGGGCACACGAGGGGAAGGAGGTGCCAGGAGCTCACCATAGGTCTCTGCTGGGAGGGGCCTGGCATGGCCACCCCGCTGCTCGTGTTCACAGCCTTCTTGGTGAGCTGGATGTAGACGTTGCCGTGGTCCTTGGACACCAGGCAGTGGTACAGGTCATCATACCTGACCTCCAGGAAGATGGCATCGCGGTCCGTGTAGTCCCCGCTCTTGAGGAAGTACACGGCCTTGGAGGAGATCAGCACACAGTAGCTGTCGATGTTCTCCACTGCTATGAAGCTGCACCAAAGGGAAAAAACAAAAATTATTAGCTTGGAGCTAAAACTAGCAAACTAACCCATGTCTTCACCTGTTTTGAGTGACCTCCAGGAGCGTGTCAGAAGATGTAGCAGTGTAACATGTACGACTCATCTGTGTTTAATTTAGGCAGTTTAAAGGTGGAGCTGACGAAGGACCCTCTCCCCTAGTTATAAAAAGATCATGCTGTAAATCAAATATTAGTGCTAAATGCCTGGCAGCCAGCTTTGGGCATTACAGGGGCAGATAAAAATGTCCTTTGACAAGGTTTAGGAAGAGTAATTTCCTTGCAAGTCCTAATGCTGAAGCTTAATTGCAACCAACTTCAGTTCCAGAGCTGCTACGTGAAAGGTGTGCAGACATTTATGATGGGAGCATTATCCTTGTCCACACTGTAACCCTCCTGTGCTTCCCTGGTCCCCCTTCAAAACACAAAATAAGCTGAACCTGCTGCTGGGATCAGTAGCAGAAAAGAGAAATTAGCTGTTTAACACGGGGTGAGAGGTTAAGCAGCAAACAGGTTTCCCCAGGGAGATTAGGCTGAGTGATGAATAGGAAGAGGGAGAGAAGAGTGAGTCAGGAATATTGAGAGTTATGATGGCTGAAAAGGCTGGGGTGTAAAAAAATAACCATAAGAGATGCAAAAGTGCAATGGATGTTGCACACACAAATGCTTCTCCCCCACTTCTGATTTACTACTGAAATGAGCCTCATTAGTGGGGTTTTTAAATGCTGAAAAATTCAGCAACTTGAATTTGAAATAATAACTGGATAGAATAATGGAGTGCTAAATAGAGTAATAAAGCTCTGCCAACAGCCCCAGGGTTGAAGCACTGCAAAAGGAGGATTCTCCTGCTGTCAGGCAGGTTCCCAATCCCTGCCTTCTGAACCACTGCTTATCCAAACCTGAGTGCTGCTGTCCTCAGACATCCTGCAAAACACTCCGCTGCCTTGGAAACCCAGGCAGTTTGTCACTACTCAGTGTTTTTGGTGGCAGAGAAGCCTCTCATCTCCAAACCCACCCCTGGCTCTGCCATTTAAGTAACACTGTGCACAAACCACTCTGAGCTGTAGCCAAATAAACCCATAGCTATAAATGGAATGTTAGTAGCCAAAAATGTGGCAAGAGGTCAGGTCATGGTTTCTTTTTGTGGTATGAAAGGGTAGCTCCAGCAATTTTGTATTCCCAGTCCTCTCAAAGACATTGTTCTGCACTGAACTTGCCTCTCCCTCCTCACTCCCCTCACACTGAGAAAGGTGCCCCCACCAATTCCAGCCCACACCGTCATCTCAGTGCTGACAACCAGCCTAATTACAGAGGGCCTGTTAGAGCTTTGCCAGCTCTACCCTTGGGCAAAGCTCCAGGATAGGATAAATGAACAGTGTTCCTTTAAGTAAAACAAACTGGGAAAAAACCAGGGAATTTCAGCTCAAAGGAGCCCAGGTGAAAGACAACATTAACAGAGGCCCGGAAACCAGCAGCTGCCCCGCAGTTTTCTACCAGAGTTCAAACACTTCAGGGGAAGGTTCTGCCTTTGAAATTAGTTAAATAGGATGGAGAGTGACATTTTTTATGGAGTGTCACAGAAAACTTAATTTAGACCCGGAGCAGCACTACAGCTGCAGGGGAACAGCCTGGCCAGGCACATCAAACACCACAGGGTTTCCCAGAGAGCCCGGATCCGACGGGGTCACGGTGCCACCGGGGACACGGGGACATCCACGGGGAGCAACTGGGCACCAGCAGCTCCTCCAGAGTCCAGGGGAAGCACCTGGGCAGTGGGACTGCAGGGTTGTGTCTGCTCCATAAGAACAACAGATGATGTATCTACTTTCCCAACAAGACTTTTACTGGTGTCATGTATATATTGTGAGGAATGGAAACAGAGGTCAGTGATTTAATGGAGAAGCCCAGAAACATTAGCTAATTTGTAGTTCAAGCTCTACATTTTGTTCTGAGTTTGAGTCATGCATCATTACCCCTCTGCTCTTGCCAACTGTTACTTTCTTCTCAGTGTCTACTTCTCAAAACAGGTATTTTTAAACTTTTCAGATACTACTGAAAGATACAACTTTTAAATTTTTTAAACCTATCTACACTATTAAAAATATCGCAAATTAATAAAATGAAAAATTAAATGAAACATGATCCAGTAGAACAAAGTAGAAGCAACCAGATCTCTGGAGAATTTGTGGGGTTTTTAACAACATCAGGAAGTAATTACACAATATTTTCCAGAAGTGAAACAGCGAGCCTAACTGGAAAAAAATGTGGAAACATTTAGTTAGAACAGTAGAGCAAGGTATTAAACCCCCTTTTATGGATTTAACTCTGAAGGAAAATATGCAAATAATCAGGTCTTTAAATGTGTTTCTGATTATGATACTAGGATAAAAGTCAGAGGCATAATTTTGTACTTATTTTCCATGACAAGAAACACTGTGTTCCTGCTGAATGATGTTCCTGATGGCAAGAGTCACAGTGAATGAACAGTGGGACTCGATGACAAAGCCCACTGCTCTGCTATGGATCTTTGTTGGTCACAAATTGCTCTTTCCATTCCCCCTGCCCGAGAGCCAGCCAGGCACAAAGACCCTGGAATGGGATGGGAACAGGATAAACCAAGTGTAAACTCACAGGGCCACGAGCAAGTGGCAGACTGCAAACTCTTCCTCACAGAACCTGGAGTGTCCCATGGCTTCAGACCTGCCCAGGGACACTGGGGACACTGAGGGACCCTGCTGAACTGGCACCTCCCTCTGCAGCTCCACCATCAGCAGTTCTGCCCCTTTGCCTTGGCACAAACCTTGATGGGAGACAGAACAGTGTCTGACACTCCCCACTGACCCAGCTGAGCAGTAACTGTGGTGGAGACCAGTAAGGGATGAATGCTGCCTTCAGACCCCCATCCAACAAACTGACCTCTCCTGTACAATCATGGAATCATGAAGGTTGGAAAAGCCCTCTAAGAT